CGCCATGAGTCCAAGCTTCTTCAGTGGCAACTAACACCACAATCATGGGAGTGACATTCTGTTACCTTCCCCATATTCCCTTGGTTAGAATGAAGTCACAGGTCCTGGTCACACTAAGAGGAGGGAATTATATAAAACTATGACTCTGGTAGCATAGTGCCTAAGGCACTTGACTGCTAACCAGAAGGCTGGTGGTTCAAACCCACCAGCCACTCCTCGGAAGGAAGGTTGGACAATCTACTTCCATAGTGATACTGCCTCGGAAACCCATCAACGGCACACAACAACAACAACATGACTAAAAGATGTCAAAATGATGAGGAGCCACCTTAAGAGGCTGTCACACTACTAAGGCAATTCCTAAAAAAAAAAAATAAATAAATAATAATATATCTACATGTTCCCTACATTAAAAAGTTTCAATTACCAGATTACAGTCATTAGAAGCATACTACTACTGTGTTTTTGCATAGTGACTAAATTTTTTATGAAGCAGACATCAAAACCCATTGCCATCAAGTCAATTCCAACAGAGTAGCACTGTCCATAGGATTTCCAAGGCTGTGATCTTTATGGAAGCAGACTGCCTCATCTGCCTACCTCAGAGCAACTCATAGGAGACTAACTCCTCTTTTCTTTCAGGCCAAAATTTAGGGATCAAAGACTGATCCTTAAAACCATTTGTATTAATAGAATGTTTGATGAACGATTCTATTGATAGTATTTTTATAAATTTGAAAAGCTGCCTCAGGAATAAAGTTAAAAGTTTAAATGATTATCCCTAACACCCCTAATAAGTAGAGCAGTGGACAGTATATACAATCCCCAAAATACAGCTTTTGCTTGAATAATTTCTTTTAGAAAGATAACACAAGGCTGGTGCCTCTGAGGTAGAGGTTAAAGATGTCTCAAATGTCCATCTTTTCCAAACTGTCATGCCACTCCATCATCTCCGACATCAACTTCTCCTCTTCCCCTCAATAATCTCCCTCCCGTGTTAAGGTTCTGTACTTTGCCGTAACATCTCATAGAACTCACAGATGTCCTAGGAAAGCGCTCACATGGTGGTGGTAGAGACTAGCAGGTTAGCAAGTCCTAGGTCTGTGGGTAGGTCTTGAGGATTCTTCCAACTGGTTACAGGGGTTGGCGAGCCAAAATCGGCAGGTCAGATGACAGCTGCTATCTCAGGTCCAGGGGTGAGATGATGACGAACAAAATGCAGAACTGAACTAGAGCAAGAGAGTGCACTTTCCCAGGACATTCCTATATATACCCGCAAGGAGCTAAGGGTGGTGACTTGAGTTGCACCTTTCAGCAAGGCAGGACTCAAGATACATCCCACCCTAAACAGGCATAAAAAATCAAACTCACTGCCTTCAAGTTGGGTCTGACTCATAGCAACCCCCATTGGGTTTCCAAGGCTGTAAAGCTTATGGATTGCCCCATCTTCCTTCTGTGGAGTGGCTGGTGGGTTTGAATCACTGACCTTCTGGATAGCAGCCAAATGCCTTCACTACGCCACCAGAGCTCCTTAAACAGGCATGGAGAATACGACTTACAGTATATCACAAAATGGGTGGTGACTTGAGTCACTCCATCCAGCAAGGTGGGACTCAAGATGCATCCTACCCTAAACAGGCATTAAAAAAAAAAAAAAAAACCCAAACTCACTGCTGTGGAGTTGGATCTGACTCATAGTGACCACTCCTTGGATTTCCAAGCGACCCCTCTTTGGGTTTCCAAGGTGGTATCACTGTGGCAGTATCACCACGAGGCTGTCGTTTGAACACAACAAGGGAACACTGCATGGTTTAAAATCAAGAAAGGAGTGTGTCAGAATTGTATCCTTTCACCATGCTTGTTCAATCTATAGTGAGCTCTGGTAGCATAGTGCCTAAAGCACTTGACTCCCAACCAGAAGGCTGGCAGTTCAAACCCACCAGCCACTCCTTGGAAGGAAGACGGGGCAATCTACTTCCATAGTGATACTGCCTCAGAAACCCAAGGAGGGGTCACTATGAGTTGGGGCCGACTCGACAGATATAACAACAACAACAATTCAGTCTATATCCTGAGCAAATAATCTGAGAAGCTGGACTATATGAAGAAGAACGTGGCATCAGGATTGGAGGAAGAATCATTAACAATCTGTGATACGCTGACGACACAATTTTGCTTGCTGAAAGTGAGGATGACTTGAGGCACTTACTGATGAAGATTGAAGAATACAGTCTGCAGTATGGATTACGTCTCAATATAAAGGGAAAAAAAATCCTCACAACTGGACCTAGAAGCAGCATCACTTTAAATGGAGAAAAGATTGAGGTTGTCAAAGACTTCACATTGCTTGGTTCTACAATCAATGCCAATGGAAGCAGCAGTGAGGACATTGGACCACGTATAGCACTGGGCAAATTGGCTGCAAAGGACCTCTTTCAGGTGCTGAGGAGTAAAGATGTCTTCTTGAGGACTAAGGTGCACCATGATACAAGCTCATCATATGCATGTGAGAGCTGGACAATGAATAAGGAAGAATGAAGAAGAGTTGATGCTTTTGAGTTGTGGTACTGGCAAAGAATATTGAAAGTACCATGGACTGCTAAAAGAACTAACAGATCTGTCCTGAAGGAAGTGCAGCTGATATGCTCATTGGAAGCGAGAATGGCCAGACTTCATCTCACCTACTTTGGTCATGCTGTCAGAAGGGACCATTCCGTGGAGAAGGATATCATGCTTAGTAAGGTGGAGGGTCAATGAAAGAGGGGAAGGCCTTCAATGAGATGGATTGACACAGTGGCTACGACAATGAGCTCAAGTATAGCAGGGATCATGGAGCTGCCACAGGATTGGGCGTTGTTTCATCCTGCTGTGCATGGGGTCGCTGTGAGTCGGAAACGACTCAACGGCACCTAACAACAACAACAGCACTATGGAAGTATTGCCCAACTTTCCTTCCGGGGAGTGGCTGGTGGGTTTGAACTGCCAGCATTCTGATTGGCAGTCAGATGCCTTAGCCACTACGCCACCAGAGCTCCCTAAACAGGCATGTTGTTGTTGTTGTTATGTGCTGTCGAGTCAGACCCGACTCACAGTGACCTCTCTTTGAGCTTCGGAGGCAGTATCACCACGGAAGTAGATTGCCCAATCTTCCTTCCGAGGAGTGGCTGGCGGGTTTGAACCTCTAGCCTTCTGGTTAACAGTAAATGCCTATGGGGACTAGAATTTACAGTACACTACCAAATGGAAGTGAAACAGTGGCTACGGTGATGGGCTCAAGTATAGCAGGGATCATGGAGCTGGTGTGGGATTGGGCATTGTTTCATGCTGTTGTGCATGGGGTTGCTGTGAGTTGGAAATGACTCAACGGCACCTAACAACAACAACAACAAATGGAAGACAATGGCTAGAAGGGCCATATTAAGCAATTCATTTCAATGCAGCTTTAAAGAAAAAACCAAAATATTTTGGCCTTTGGAATTATTTCATTTCTTCTTCTGCCACAAAAAAAAACAACACGTATACAGACACATATATGGTAGCACAGTTAAACCAGGTAAAATTCTAGAATTGCTCCTAAAAGGAAGGATTTTATATTCGTAATAATAGCAGCTTTTAGGTTATACAATAGCCAATGCTGAAAATATAAAATTTCATTCTGAAACATTATATTATTTTTATGGTTATTACTTTCAGTACCTAATGATCAAAAAAAGATTTAATTTTAATTTTTGTTTTTCTGGAAATTACTAAACTATGCCCTAGTCTTGCTTATGTGCTGCTGTTAGGTGCCGTTGAGTCAGCTTTGACACACAGCCACCCTGTATACAACAAAACACACTCCCCAGTTCTGTGCCATCCTCACAGTCTTTGTTATGTTTGAGCCCATTGTTGCAGCCACTGTGTCAACAGACATCATTGAGGGTCTTCCCCTTTTTTGCTGACCCTCCACTTTACCAGTCATAATATCCTATAGGGATTGGTCCGTTCTGACAACATGATCAAAGTAGGTGAGGCAAAGTCTGCCTGTTCTCATTTCCAAGAAGTGTTCCAGCTGCACTTCTTCCAGGACAGATTTGTTAGTTCTTGTGGCATAGTGTTTTCACTAATCTTCACCAACACCACAATTCAAAGGCATCAACTTTTCTTCTGGTTGTGTGCCGTCGAGTCGGACCCGACTCATAGTGACCCCTCTTCGGGTTTTTGAGGCAGTATCGCTACGGAAGTAGATTGCCCAACCTTCCTTCCAAGGAGTGGCCAACTTTTCATAGGTCTTCCTTATTCATTGTCCAGCTTTCACATGCCTGTGAGGTGATTGAAAATACCATGGCTTGGTTTAGGCACACCTCAGTCTTCAAAGTGGTATCTTTGCTCCTTAACACTTTAAAAAAATCTTTTGCAGACTTGCTCAGTGCAATTAGATGTCTGATTTGACTGTTCCTTCCATGGATGTTGATTATGAATCTGAGTAAAATGAAATTCCTGACAACTTCAGTCTTTTCTCCATTCATCATGATGTTGCTTATTGGTCTAGTTGTGAGGATTTTTCTTTTCTTTATGTTGAGGTGTAACCCATACTGAAGAGTGTAGTGTTTGATCTTCATCAGTAGATGCTTCAAGTCTACTATTAGCAAGTAAAGTTATGTCATCTGCATATCACAGGTTGTTAATAATTTTCGCCAATCCTGATGCCACGTTCTTCTTCATACAGTCCAGCTTCCCAGATTATTTGCTCAGCATACAGATTGAATAAGTATGGTGAAATGATACAACCCTGATGCATACTCTTCCTGATTTAAAACCATGCAGTATCCCCTTGTTCTTTCAAATGACAGCCTCTTGGTCCGTGTACACGTTCCTCATGAGCAAAATTAAGTGTTCTGGTATTCCCATTCTTTGCAGTGTTATCCATAATTTGTTATAATCTAAATAGTCGAATGCCTTTGCACAGTCAACAAAACAGAGGTAAACATCTTTCTGGTATTCTTTGCTTGCTCATATAGGTATCAGCAAATACAGAGGATTCTTCTATAAGTGGCTACTTGTACAGATCAAAGGGCAATAAAAAACCTTGGAAACACTTGTGGTTTGTCATAAAAAATAAAGTGCTGTATACATACGCTGCAAGTGAGGTAAGGTCTGAAAGCTAAAGATTTTGGGGTCTTATTTTGCAATGCCAATGGAAAATAAAAGTATCAGACTACAATGTTTTTAATAAATTTGTGTATGTGTTGTTTTCATTTTGAAGGGGGGAGCTGTTGCTGCTGTTACTCTTAACATGGACAGTGCTCTTGCTTTGTACCTGGAAAACTCTTTCTTAAATGTGTTAATATTCCGTATCATTGAAATGCAAGTATTTTTGGTGTCATGTGACTACTAACTACTTCACTAAAATTCAGAGTTTTTATCTTTTTTGCCAAGCTTTCTTGGGTGCCACTCCCGTGGCCCTCCCCAGATTCTACTGATGAAGAATCAGTGCAGATAGGCATTATTTGGGTTATAGTTTCTGGCTATTTGCTCTAATTCTACCTATTTCTGCTATTCCATCTCCCTGTGTTTCAACATCCTGTGAAAACCACTGCTGTAAGGTCCAAGCTTCTTTTTAGTATGACCTGGGGTAAATCACTTATCTTTCTGAGCTGTATTTTCCACATCCATGAAATGAAGGTAATACAATGCCTGCCTCTCAGGGATTTAATGAAAATAAGAAATTCAATGTGTGTGAACACCTTCCAAACCATTGAGCACAGTGCCTGACACATGGGGTAGGTCGGGAGGGGACTCTCAATAAATATCGTTGAATAAATGAAAAATTAATTATATTGCTTTCATTGCTTTATATTCATGTATATGAAATTAAATTAGAGCTACCCAGATAAAATGATCTCCAATCTGAATTTTGTCCCAATCTAAAAACCCATCTCCGTTTTGTGTGTTTTTACGTTAGGACGTGGCAGCTTTGGAGAGTCAACCTTTATTAGGATTCACTGTCACGCAAGTCGAAGATGAGAATTCGGAGTCCAAAGTGTTTCAGTTACTGCACAAAAACATGTTATTTTATCTGTTCAAAGCAGAAGATGGTCACTTAGCTCAGAAGTAAGTAACCTAGAAATATTTTCTTTCATACATCAGATTTCAAGTTATTCCTTTAGAGGGTGATTTTAAAATTACCTATGTTAAGGCATAGGGACCACCCGGAATTTAAACATGAGTTCCAATTTAGAAAGATGTAACATATTATTCAAACCTTTGAGAAGAATTGTTTTAAAAACAAGGCAAGAGTGTCTGGAATATTTTCAGGAGGCAGAGGGTAAATGAAAATAGGTAGTCTTGTCCAAAGGCCTTTGTCTACCCATGACCTCAGAGGAAGCAGCGTGATGCTGCTCTGCTGAAAGGAAGGAGAGTGGAGGTTTTTGACCTCTTTCAGTGAGGGTAAGACTCTTTCCTTGAAACATTCCAGGACTTTGGCAATCCAGAGATTCAGTTGTGCCACGGAACAGCAGGAGTTTAAACAGCTGCTTACTAACTTTCTTCTTTGGGAAAAAGGTCAAACACATTAAGAGGCTCTCATGCTGTTGACTAACAGTACAAGGAAATGGATGTCATTTTAGAAAGTAAAGGCTGAATAGTCTCTTCAGAATTCGAAGGTTATTTATTTAGATGTCATGAGAGTGCTTAGTATAGAGGTGCATAACTCTGTGGGGCTGAGGTCTTTTCTGAACAAACAGTTCAATTCCCCTCTCTTTCATTTCATTTCCATTTTGTCCTTACAAAATATGCATTTTTTGTTTCAACAAGAGGTGTACATGTTTTCTGAATGGAGTTAAAAGTGTGGTGAAGATTGTTATTTTGCATGTAGATGAAAAGGAGAGTTCTAAGCTAGGATTTTTATAGCAGAATTAGTGTACCATATGTTCCTGAATATCAACCAATGCAATGTTATACTCTATAAGGCTTTTTTTTTTTTCTTTGAGTCTAAGGATGGATATGCAGCATAGTTGCTCCTCCAAATAATATGGAGATAATGAAGAATATTTTTCTATTATGTCACTTAACTTTTTTTCTGTGAAAATTATTTGGACAAAATAGTTATTGCTCTAAGATTCTGGCAGACATTATCTCTCTTTCAATTTTTATCTGTAGTCATCTTCAAACTGATAAAATTGTAGCTTTTCGATATATATCCCCTTTAACTTATGTCATTATGTTGACAAGATGGAAATGCCTTTAAAGCAGAATGAATGTAGTTCGGTGGGGGAAATCAGTTTATTTATAATTCAGAATGGGTCAAGATTAAATTATTAATTTCTCTGAGATTAATAACATGTGGTTGATTTTTTAGTACATTTGTTGTTGTTGTTGTTGTTCTGTGCCCTCGAGTCAAACCGACTCATTAGTACATTAGTAAATATTAAAATGTGCTAATATAGATACAGGGAGCCTTTTTCTTTTACCTATTAAAAAAATGCAACCACTGTTGTGGAGTCAGATCCAACTCATAGCAAACCCTCCCTGGGTTTCCAGGGCAGTATTACTTCAGAAGTAGATTGTCCAACCTTCCTTCCAAGGAGTGCCTGGTGGGTTTGAACTGCCAGCCTTCTGGTTAGCAGTCAAATGCCTTAGGCACTATGCCACCAGAGCTCCTTATTTAATGAAACTACTAAATGATAGCTAAATTGCATTCTTAGACTTAAGACAGAATGAAACATCTTTGTAGTTGCTGGTTAAATCCATATGATCCATATTGTCAACAGACGGTCACCTTTTTTTTTTAATTGTTGTAAAATATGTATATCATAAAATTTACCATTTCAACCATTTTGATAAGAAATTGTTTAAACTAACAATTTGTTTAAAAAAATATTTGCCATTTAATAATCTTCACATGTACAGGTTACTGATAGGGTCTTTCCAATTACCCTTGACAGAATTCAGCCTTTTTTGAGTGTACATACAATTCAGTGACATTAATTACATTCAGAATATTATGCAGCCATCACCACTGTTTGTCTCCAGATTTTTTCATCACCCCAGACAGGAACTCAATACCCATTAATCAGTAATTCCTCATTCCCCTCATCTACCCGGCCCCTATACTACTTTCTGTCTCTCTGCATTTGCCTATTCTAGGTATTGCATATAAGTGGAATCATACAATATTTATTCTTTGTGTCTGGCTTATTTCACTTAGCATATCTTCAAAGTTCATTCATGTTGTAACATGTATTAGAACTTCATTCCATTTTATGGCTGAATGATATATCCATTGTATGGATAATAGCACATTTTGTTCATCCATTTATCTTTTGATATACAATTAGGTTGTTTCCACCTCCAGCTATTGTGAATACTACTGCAGTGAACATTGGTGTACAAGTATATGTTTGCATCCTGCTTTCAATCTTTCAGGTTATTAAAACAAAAATCATATTAAACCAATAATAAAAACTGAGTTTATTTAATACATGATTTGAAAATTGGGGCAACATTTCTGAGTGTCAAAAATGTTCCAAAGAAGAAAAATCTTTAATAGGTTCTTATACTCTAGCTTGGGAGCTCTGGTAGCATAGTGGCTAAGACACTTGCCTGCTAACCAGACGGCTGGCGGTTCAAACCCACCAGCCACTCCTCGGAAGGAAGGTTGGGCAATCCTACTTCTGTAGTGGTACTGCCTTGGAAACCCAAGGAGGGTCACTATGAGTCGGGTTTGACTCGATGGCATATAACAACACAACAACAACATACTCTAGCTTATTGCTAGTAATTATACATTGCCATGAAACAGGGCTAGAACAGTGTTTACTTAATAACTCACGGACATGCAACATCTTCTTGAAGAACAATTCAGATAATTGCTGATTCCTAAAACAGCTCTAGTCTGACCTTTGAAGTTGTCAAAACTGCACATAAATAATTGTATTAAGAACACAGTGCTCAAAGTAAAACATTCTTTTACTACGTAAGTTGAACTATTGTTTGACTTAGAAGTGACTTTTAGAAGACCAGTTTCTCAAAGCTCAGCATTCAGAAATCTCAGGGTGAAAGCACAGGTGGGTCACCTTGACATCCATGGAATCCAGAAATCTGAACTCCTAGACAATTAAAAACTCCTAGGTTGTGTACCCAGGAGTGGAATTGATACGTCATCTGGTATTACTATGTGTAACTTTTTGAGGAACCGTCACCTGTTTCCACAGTGCCTGCACCATCTTCAATACCCACCAGCAATGTCTGAAGGTTCCAATTTCTCCACATCCTCACTAACGGTGTTATTTTCCATTTTTCTGGTAACAGTCAACCTAAAGGGTGTGAAGTAATATCTCCTTGTGGTTTTCATTTGCATGTCCCTAATGATCAATGAGGAGCTCTGGTGGTGTAGTACCTAAGGCATTTGACTGCTAACCAGAAGGTTGGCAGTTCAAACCCACCAGCCACTCCTCAGAAGGAAGATTGGGCGATCTACATCCGTAGTGATAACGCCTCGGAAACCCAAGGAGGGGTTGCTATGAGTCAGATCTGACTTGATGGCAGTGACTTTGGTCAATGAAAGGCTGGACAATCTAATCTACTTCCATAAAGATTTACCACCTCGGAAACCCAAGGAGGGGTCACTATGAGTCGGAATTGAATTGATGGCATTAAGTTTGGTTTTGGTTTTAATGCTCAGTGATGTTGAGCATCTTTTCATGTGCTTATTAGCATTTGTGTCCCTTATTTGGAGAAATGTCTATTCTAGTCCATTGCCCATTTTTAAATTGGGTACTTTGTCTTTTTGTTGTTGAGTTATAGGAATTCTTTATATATTCTGGATATTGAAATCCTTATCAGATCTATGATTTCCAAATATTTTCTCATTGGGCTTTCTTTTGTTTTGTTTTATTTTTTTTTCGTAATGGTGCAACTTATATGCCATTTGTTTATAAAATTACAAATTTTGAAAATTCTACCCTTGAAATTTGAGCTGAATTTATTATAAGCTGATTTTGCTAATTAAATTGAGTGATTTCAAATGTTCATTGTTCCTAGGACTTTTTTCTTTATATAACATTTATTGTAACAAATTATATTTCTGTAAGAAACAGAAAAAACTAAGTTCAGTTGATGCTGCTTTTTTTTTTTTTTTTTTTCCCCAAATGATTTTAATGTATACACCTGGTGGATGACATGATAAATCCTGGAAGTGTATCAAAATATTAACATTTCCTAAATTTCCAACAGTGAATATACATTACTTTTAGAATATAAAAATATTACATTTTAAAAAGAAGCAATTATGTTACTAGGGATATACAAAGAACCTATCCCAAATGTATTCTGAGTAATTGAAAGTATGTATATTATTGGATAAAACTATTTTGAGAATAAAGAATTTTGGAAAAGCTTTTATGAAACTTTGAAATGCTTTTATACTACATAAAAAATTTTGATCAACTGGAAGTGGACAAGATGCCAGAATCCCTTTATTTGAAAATACTGGAACAAGTCTGAACTAGGGAAGCCCTAGGAGAATACTCTAGTTGATGGAGTTAAGAGGAGGAGACAGGGACAGAAGCTACTGTTCCTAAAAGCACTGACTCAGAGTACTGGATACGGGAGAAAGGGAGTTGAAGGAAAGGCCTTTGCTAATATATCCACTTCCAAAAACCAGTTAAATGGGAGCATCCAAACTCCATAGGCTTTTACATGAAATGGTCCCTTTTGCTCCTCAAAGAAATGAGCGGCATGTTCTTTAGGTCATAGTGGACCACATTACCAAATAAAAGCTGGTTAGTTCCCTGGACACAGAATTCCAGGTTGTTGTAGGAAAGAACTTAAATCCACTATTAGGATAACCAACCACAGGCCCAGCTATTATCTCTGCTCTCTTCATACATTGAATTCATATATTGGATCTTACAAATCTAACATATTTCTCTTATCAAATAGGTGGATAGAAGCATTTCAGGAAGGCACAATATTGTAGCAGTATCAGTTTCATCTCTCCTCTGATTCAAATGGTGGAATTTCATCAGAATGGAGTAAATGCAGTATAAAATTTTTATGGAATGAAACATTGCCAAGATAAATACACCCCAAATGTCTGTCTGATGTAAGAAATCATTTTGTTAGGTATAAGGTAACTTTTTTTAAATGTTTATTTTCTTCCATATGTTATTTATTTAAAATTTTGATGTTTACTTAATGGTCAGAATTATTTCTGAAACTCACACTGAATTCTAAAGTATGTTTTCTTTGGAGACTAGAAAACTTATTTTAATATCATAAACTGTATAAACTATTTGTGACTCAGTCCACACTGTTTTTTCTACCTTATATTGTAATATTTTCACGAGTGGTAAAATTTTGTAAGTAAAAAACACACATATCAAGGAGCAAATTTCCATGTGGTGCTTGGTTCAGAAATGATTATTATACAACTGTTGATAGAAAAAATGCATGTCTTTGAATCTGTACAATAAACTTAGATGAATTTTTGTATCTTTTAATGGAAAAAACTGCACGGCCAACTTCTACCTCAGTGACTGTGAAATGAATTTCCAGTAAATTATCAAAAGCTTTTCTACTGTTAAGTACCTCTTTTGGCCAGAGTTAGTGTTTTATCATTGAGAAATTACAGCAAAGGGATAGAAACTGAATCTATTTTTAACCAAGTTTTGAGTAGGAATTAGGATGTTTTCTTTTGCAGAGGAAGAAAAATAATCAACCTCTGTGATTTTGGGGTATTTTTGGTTTGGTTTATGGGCTTTTTTTTTTTTTAAAAAAAAAAATGATGAAAGGGTTAAACGTTCAGCCGCTGACCATAGATTGGCTATTCACCACCACCCAGTGGCTCTGCTGGAGGAAGAGCTGGCAGTCTGCTTCTGTAAAGATTGTTGTTGTTGTTGTCATGTGCCTTGGGTTTCCGAGGCAGTATCACTATGGAAGAAAGATTACAGCCTAGAAAACCTTATGAGGCAGTTCTACTTTGTCACTGGGTCTTTAGAGTCTAAATTGACTCAGCAATACATAACAACAGCACCAATATGGGCTTTAAAAGCTACCAAGCTCAACACAAACATATGATTAGTTGTTTTTACAAAGCAAAATACAGCAAGCATTATATTAATAATGTCCCCTGCTATTGTGAATAAAAGTTCTGAGCTCAAGTCAATGGTGGTATTTGTACCAAAAAAGAATGTTACATTTCCTAAAATATTGTGCTTTAAAAAATTAACTGGAATTAATATTTCAGAAAAGCACAAATTTTAAGCCAGTATTAACTAAAATTGTGTATTATTCATTTTTAAAATATTTTTATACAACTTTGTGATATGTCCTTCCTGATCATTTTTTTTTTTTAAATCATTTATTACTTTAACCAGCAGTCAGTGCACCTCATTAGGAAAGATTTATATTCATAATTCTGGTGCACTTATTGTTTAACATGAACTACCATGTACATGGGAGCTCTGATAGCATAGCGCCTAAGGCATTTGACTGCTAACCAGAAGGCTGGCGGTTCAAACCCACCAGCCACTCCTCGGAAGGAAGATGGGGCAATCTACTTCCATAGTGATACTGCCTCGGAAACCCAAGGAGGGGTCACTATGAGTCGGGTCCGACTCGACGGTACATAACAACAACAACAACAACAACAACCATGTACATAAAATTGCTGGTTGGCAGAAGGAATGTGAATAAACACTATGATTAAAGTCATTCTTGATATGTATACTACAGGTTTCCTTCACTATCTAAAACTACAGCTTTCCTATGAAAACTTTTGTAAGCCAGAATGGCATAAAGGGAAGAAAGAATTACCATTAACTTTATATGTGAAAATTTTTTGATCATTCTCAGACCCCAAATATTACCTACAAAATCATACCAACTGTCTTAATTAGCTAGGGCTGCTGAAACAAATACCACAAGTGAATGGTTTTAACAAATGTAAATAATTTATTCTCTCACAGTTTAGGAGGCTAGAAGTCCACATTCAGGGCACCAGCTCCAGGGGAAGCCTTTCTGTCTCTGTCGGCTCTGGAGGAAGGTCTTTGTCTCAGCTCACCATCTGTGGGCCCAGTGTTCTTTGTAGATCTACATGTGTCTTGGCATCAATCTTCCCCTGGCTCTAGGAGGTTCTCAGCACAGTGACCCCTGGTCCAAAGGAAAGGTGGCACTCCTGCATCTTCTTTCTTGGTGGTAGTCAAGTCCCTCCTCTGCTAGCTTCTCTTTCCTTATAACTCTGGTAAGATAAAATGTAATACAGGCCACACCCCAGGGAATCTCCCCTTATATTGGATCAGGGACTGTGACCTGAGTAAGGGTGTCCTGTCTCACCCTAATCTTCATCAACATAACAAACAACCTGATCGTCTTTGTTGTTGTTATGTGCCATTGAGTGGGACCTGACTCATAGTGACCCCTCCTTGGGTTTCCAAGGCAGTATCACTACGGAAGTAGGATTGCCCAACCTTCCTTCCGAGGAGTGGCTGGTGGATTTGAACCACCAGCCTTCTGGTTAGCAGTCAAGTGCCTTAGGCAGTATGCTACCAGAGCTCCTCTTTAACAGTAACCTAATCCTGCCTCATTAACCACAGGCACAGATTAGGATTTACCATACATGGGATAATTACATTAGATCACAAAATGGAGGACAGCCACTTAGTACTGGGAATCATGGCCTAAACAAGCTGACATGTATTTCTGGAGATCCAATTCAATCCATGACACGTAAAATCTAAAATAACACTAACATATAGTTGGAAAAAAAAAAGTAACTTTGGCAGCTTTCAAGATTTTTCTATCTTTGCTTGTAAATAGTACAACCAGTAGACACAGTCAAGTTCAACATACGCACAGTGTCTTCATTCCCCGCAATCAGAACACTTCCTTACATCCAGTTTTACACTATTATGACACCCTTATGAGCTCTCAGGCTTTTCTGGTATCTTAGGACACATCTTGCTCTAATGGATGCACAAAATAAATCGAGATGAAGTACAGATGCTCACTTATACAGTTCAAGGCTATGGCAGGGGCTTGATGCTGAGTATAGTGGCAGTGCCACTCGCTGCTTGGGGAGCCGCTCAATGCAAAACAAACACTGAGTGCTCATTTCACTTGCTGAGAGTGTAAGTTCATTTTATTGCCTTTTTTTGTAAAAGCGAAAATCCTCTTTGGATTTCCTTTGGTTACAGGTGCTAATGTAGGTTTTTTGTACAAGTAGAGTGACGTAAAGCAAACTTTTGAGCAGCAGAGGACAGTTGTATATAATATATTGACTGAGTTTAAAGTAAATATAAACTGTCTTAAAAGGCAAGATTACCATTCAATATTTCGTTAAAGGGTACAGAATTTTCCTTTATGCTTCAGTGTAAAGGATTTACTAATTCACTTTGGTACCTGTGATGGCTGAGGGAATTCCTGAGTGCCTTTTGAATCTGTTTGCTGCAGCACCAGAGTCCTACTAGATCTAGAGTTTGCTGCTGTAGTTTTTCCTGGGTGCTTCTTACTATGGAATCACCTGTTGCAACCTCATACACAATGCTCACATTATCCCCCAAGTCTTTCAGTCAGAGTAGGTAAAGGAGTGTCTTTGCGGCTCACTTGTCAAGATAACAGAAATAATGCTTCCATCCCTTATTTACATGTTTTTTCACACAGCATTAACATCCCTGCAGTTGCTCATGTGTCCTTTTTGCAGACTAAGTTTACACCTCATACACAACTTCCTTCAGCTTCAACGGGTCTAGCATTTGACCAGACAAGTTATGTGGGGTGGTTTCTCCTCATGGAACTCTCAACTTTCTGACTAAAGGGTTTGACTTCTACCTCAGACTGCAAAATAATATCCATTATCAATGGAATATCTTCTAACACCTTGGTGAATCAAGAGCCAATTTTAAATTGAAACTGAAAGAGAAGAAACCTCTAGTAATTCTCTTTATATATGAAATACATATGCCCTCTTCTCCAGTACAGATGTTTTAAATATGGAATATTATTACATTTTCCCACTTGTCAATCATTCATAACTTACTACATTTGATCAATGTTTATTTATTTCACCTGGCCCATTCAGTATCACCCAAGAACCTAATTACATACACTTTGCTGTAAAGCTACTTTAATATCTCTTGATAGCTAACACTTCAGAGAAAAAAAATTATTGGGTGGATTCTGTAAGGGAGCTCGGATGGCGTAGTGCCTAAGGCACTTGACTGCTAACCAGAAGGCATTCTGTAAATAGAAAGTGCAACTAATGCCTCAGGCCTAGGAATACTGCATTTATTACACTGATAGATATGCTTCCATCAAATTCTTTTAAAAGTACCTCCTTTTACTCTGTGGGAGAGAAGGTCAGTTAAAAAGCAAGCTAGAGAGGATGTTCAGGGTAACCCGAACGTGAGACACCAGGTGGAATGAGGCTGGCATTTTTTGTGTATTTCCCTCAACCAGTGCTCCTCTTTTATCTGTGGGAGCTGTAGATGCAGAAGACTCACCAGAGAGCTAGAAAAATAAAGAGTCTCTTGGGCATCATCCCACATTTCTGAACCTCTCTAACTTCTTCTAATGCACCCAATATCCTCCTGTCTGTCAGCAGAGCAACTGCCATTGCTCATTCTGTCATCTTCAAGCAAAATCTTGACTCGGTATTTAGAAGCATTTCTTTAAATGAGACCATCAGACCAACACTTGATTCACACACAGTAAGCTGTAATGTAACAACTAGGTGAGCAAGGCAGCTCTGAAGTGTTCATTTTGTCAGCCAAATGTTTATAGGTGGTGGGACATATCCAGAAATGGGGGAAAGCCTGCTGTTCAGTGATTTAGTTAAAATGTAAATGCCATCATAGTATATGTTATGTCTTCAATGTGTACTTGCATTGTGCTACATTTTGGGGAAGTTGAGAGATCCACTGTAGTGAAATATAATCACTGGGATTTCCCAAGAAGGGAATCCTATTTTCTTTATTATAC